TCACCAAAGTACCCAAAAGAAAGCCAAAAGAGAAGGAGAGCGATGAGTAGCAGAAGCATCAAACCACTGAGGCCGCCGCCAAGCCCAGCAGCAATGATACTGCTGAGCTCCAGCTAGCTCCGCTTGCAGATTCTACCCACCCTTCCACAAACGCCGCCAAGATAATTGCTCCACAGCCCCCTTCACCTCTGACTGTTCCTGACCATCTTGGAACAGAGGAGCCAGCCCAGGTTAGCCTAGAATCCTCCAATATCCACAGGTTTTCTGTTCAAAAATGTAAATTGAATAGCAACTGTTTCATAGGAAGAGAGTGGCTGGAATACTCGGTTACTGCAGATGCGGCAATTTGTTTTCCATGTCGAAAGTTCTGTGTTCGGTCCAATGCTAAAGCAGACAATGCCTTCACCCAAGATGGGTATTCTAACTGGAAGCATGCTATTTATAGTACCAAAGGATTCACTAGGCACGCATCAAGCAAAGAGCATTTGAAATGCTCTGCGCTGTGGAAAGAAAAACAAGTTTGAAGTGCTATGGGAACATCAGTGTCAACACTTGTTAATGATGGGCATCTGGCAAGAAATCGCAGGTATTTGTCGACGATTGTGGACATTAATGAGTTCCTTCTTTCAAACCAGCAACCACTAAGGGGGACATTGGATGCAATAGAGTCAAGAGGGGAGGGGGGCAGTAGTGGACTTTTTCTGTCTATGATGGAATATACTCTCCGAAAAGACAAGGAACTTGCCAAGATGTTTAGCACCATACCCCACAATGCCACATACACTTCATACGATATTCAAAATGAAATCATAGGGCTCATGAGAAGGGCAAACACAGCTACATACGAGAACTAGTTTTCCACTTTGACAAACGTGTTCAGTCAGCACAGAAGAAAAATGCTACACCTGAGGAAAGCTCAACTAATCCAACTGGCATTTGAATTGGATCTTACAAGGGAATTTTGGGTTGAATAATGGTCGATTAATCAGGAAGTTCCACAGAGCATCAAGGAGGCTGCAACTCTTTTGAAAAGGTAAACTGGTTGGTTGGCATTTGAACTTTTATGTTTTTTGTGGTAATTCCAATGCAAAAACCCAAATGACGCCCCTGGGTATACTACAGTTCCTTCAGAAAGTATTCACACCCCTTGACTTTTTCCACATTTTGTTGTGTTACAGCCTGAATTTAAAAATGGATTGAATTGAAATTGTGTGACACTGGCCTACACATAATACCCCATAATGTCAAAGTGGAATTATGTTTGTAGAAATGTTTACAAATTAATAAAAAATAAATGGCTTAAATGTCTTGATTCAATAAGAATTCAATCCCTTTGTTATGGCAAGCCAAAAAAAATTCAGGAGTACACATTTACTTAACAGGTCACATAATGGTGTTTAACATGATTTTTGAATGAGTACCTTATCTCTACCCCACACAATTATCTGTAAGGTCCCTCAGTCGAGCAGTGGATTTCAAACACAGATTCAACCACAAAGACCAGGGAGGTTTTCCAATGCCTCGCAAAGAAGGGTACCTATTGGTAGTTAGGTAAAAAAAAAAGCAGACATTGAATGTGCTGAAGTTATTAATTACACTGTGAATGGTGTATCAATACACCCAGTCACTACAAATAATACAGGCGTCCTTCCTAACTCAGTTGCTGGATAGGAAGGAAACCGCTCAAAGATTTCACCATGAGGCCAGGGTTTAATGGCTGTGATAGGAGAAAACTGAGGATGGATCAACAAAATTGTAGTTACGCCACAATACTAACCTAACTGACAGAGGGAAAAGAAGGAAGCCTGTACAGAATAAAAATATTCCAAAACATGCATCCTATTTACAACAAGCCACTAAAGTAACACTGCAAAGAAATTGGCAAAGCAATAATTGTTTTGTCCTGAATACAAAGTGTTATGTTTGGGGCAAATCCAATACAACACATTACTGAGTACCACTCCATATTTTCAAACATAATGGTGGGTGCATCATGTTATGGGATTGCTTGTTTGTAATTGTTAAAGACTGGGGATTTTTTTAGGATAAAAATGAAACGTAATGGAGCTAACCACAGGCAAAATCCTAGAGGAAAACCTGGTTCAGACACTGGGAGAGTATTTCACCTTTCAGCAGGCCAAATCTACACTGGAGTTGCTTACCAAGACAACATTAAATGTTCCTGAGTGGCCGAGTTACAGTTTTGACTTAAATCTACATGGAAATCTATGGCAAAACCTGAAAATAGTTGTCTAACAATGATCAACAACCAATTTAAGAGCTTAAATAATTTTGAAATGAATAATGGGCAAATGTTGCACAATCCAGACGTGGAAAGCTCTTAGAGACTTACCCAGAAAGACTCACAGCTTTAATCGCTGCCAAAGGTGCTTCTACAAAGTATTGACTCAGGAGTGTTGAATACTTCTACAACGTGAATAATATCGGGGGGAAAAATGGGATTGATAGACCTAACAACTAGAAATGGGCAGATGTTTTAGTAAGTGGTGTCAGGTGTGGTCACGGGACGTTTCCAAGTGTCCCTAAACCTCTCCAAAATAGCTGCCTGCTTTTTAGGTTCCTGTTTGATATTCTTAGTTTGTAGCGTTTCTTTCCCCTTGAGAAGCCATCTTTTATGCTAAAGCGATTAAATTAAAGCGATGAAATCTGTTTACAATGTAATGTAGCGTGCTCAGTGCGTCTCTGAGCCAGGTAGCAAAAGTTCGCATTGCGCATAAAAAGGTTCTAGGCCTTGCTTTGTCCCACCCAGGTCAACTGCATTTCCCTGGAAAGCTTATCTCATTGGCTACAAGACTGTCAAGGTGCCATAGGAGTCAATCCCCTGTGTAATGGATGCCCACAGCATGTGAGCAGGCAACATCATATTTTTGAAGCGCAAAGATATAGTCACTCTGTGGACATTTGATGTTGCCATTAATAGGCTAGATTTGTTCCTACCAACCTAAGGTTTCATTTGATACCACCCATGTAGCTATAGCTTAAACACAGATCAAATCAATGCTTACCTTGTAAGATGTTTGGTGAAAACGTTTGACTCTCGGAGCTGGTGATCAATAACGGTAGGTCACAGGCAGACAAATATGATATCCTCATGATCTGTGGAGTCCCAGCTTTCGGTGTGTATCAACGTATTCCGTGTTTATTTAATTTATGCTTCACAACACTAACCGGAATGTAGGTAGCATCCATCTTGAAATTAGGTAATCGGCTCGGCCTGCCCTTATAAATTCATATGCCCATATATAGTACTAAGTCACACCAAAGATTTGAAGGCACCGATCAATAGCCAAGATACTCGGCTTTCTGCAGACACCCTGGTTTTGCAGATAGGGGCTACCGTTCTCATACCAGACTGAATTGAATAAAAAAAATGGGAACTTTATATTTAAGAGGCTAGGACGGACGTAGTCAATATAACTATTTGTTCAGCACTTTTGAAATGTACAGCGAGCGAATTCAGAACATGGGCCGTTCTTACAGTATTCTCTCTGTATACCAAGTCAGAACCGTAGGATAAATAAAAGGGGGTATATAAGCAGACAATGAAAGCTCTTACAATATTCAATGATTACATTTCTCTAAAACAGGCTATAGGCTACATGTGCACCACCAAGTCAGAACAATAGGTGAAATTATGAGGGGAAAATTGACCAAAGGGTGAGGCACATGGGCTACTAACAGCTTACTACACAACATACACTTATGTATACTGTAGCTAAGAAAGTAATACTATCTCCCTGGCATATTACATCATTTATGCAGCAGCATACAATACATTTTTGGACTCCCCTTGTTGTGCTCACTTGAACAGGAAGGTGGCACGGCGGTCCTTCTTGGGTAAATTTTGTCATCAAACTTTGTCATCAAAGTCTGGCATTCTCTGGATTTATGGTGCTTTCAAGACAACTGGGAACTTGGAAAAAAGCTAGGTCGAATCATGGTGACGTCAGTGATCTTCAGGTCGGAGCTCTAGAAAGAGGTCAGAGTTCCCGACCATGCAATTCAGAGTTGGATGACCGTTCAAAACGTATTTTCCCAGTTGGAGCTCGTTCTTTTCAGATTTCCCAGTTGTCTTGAACTCACTGAAGTCCGAGATTTCCCACTTCTGAGTTTCCAGTTGTTTTGAGCGTGACAGAAGGCATGCTGGATTGACAGGATGGCCAATGTTGAATGTTTATCCTTTTAAGCTTGGAAAAGAGACCCTTAAAAACAGACTTGGACCACACACCCATTCCACTGAATAGCAGGCTAGCGATTGCTTTGCAATGCTTGCAGTTAACCGCTGATTCCTTCCAAACCACTCTTTGTTGAATTTCCGATTTCCAACTTGTTGTGTAATGTTTATGTCCAATAGCCGATGAGCACCGATACGTTGTATCTAATTATTTATCTTCATATGACAAGGATTGAAAAGGATTTGCCAGTAGATTGTCGACTTGATTCATGATGATGACTGCTTGTCTAGCTTGCTAGCTAAGATTTTGAAAGTATGATTCTGACATGATCAGTCCAATCAAAGCTACTGTAGAAATAACTTGATTTGAAGTAATTTTATCTGTGGCCAATGACCTTGAGCCTTCTTGAATGGGACCTCTAATGTAACACTATGGCAGCACCCAAGGGGCTTGAATTTTCAAGCTCTAACCGTAGATTTTGCGGTGGCGTAGTGTCTCCATGAGTGACAGAACAATGAGCCAATCACGGCACAACTAGAGAACAATGCCAACCCCTACGCTCCGTATTTTCCGCTGGCTGCCCCACCACCACAGAAAGCACTGAGCTAAGCTGAAACACCTGCATTTTGGAGCTGCCTTACTCAAACAAACAAAAAAGAGACTGTTTGTATGCGGCTTTATTAACTCAATTATTGTATTTTTGTTTTTTTACATTGTTTGCAAACTGATATGTGACACGTATTAACGCCAAAAGAACATGCAAAACAGGCAAAAAAAAAAGAAACATACAAAACAGGTTTTTAGCTAAACGGGTGGGCTATGCCCCACCTGCCCTGAATGACGGGTCGCCATTGGTGCAGACGAAAATATAGTTTCAATAATCCCATGATTTTAAGCCAACACTGTCTGTTATGCCCGGAAGATGTGCACGCATTTTATTTTGCTTTAGCTCATAATTTCAATACAATTCTGATCTTTCATTATATACTGTTCTAGTATTTCTAATGTGTGCAGAGACATTTTCCTGTTACTCCAGTTTTGCCTCCAGCACCTTCACTAGGCTAATCAGCTCTGGTTGTGCGGTATATTCTGCTATTATCTACTAGTGTTTCTAAACAAAAAGTTCCTGTGAGACAAGACTGAAATATGCTATCTCTGTCTGATTATACAGTTCCAACAATAACTTAAAGTACAGTGGGTTTGGTGGTCCTTTTAGTTGCCAGCCGCCCATGCTGTGTTGAATACTCTGCATTGTCTTCTATTGGACTGCCTTCTCCCGGATAAATATTATGAAGAACTGCAGACTCTGAGCCTCTTTTATCCAAATGCAGTGAAGATGAATCGTCGTCTTCGGAGTCTTCTCTTTTTACAGTGATATTAAATTACATTACCGTGTCTACCAAGCACACTTTCTTGGCTATGGAATCGATCGATAAATAGGCTGCCTATGTGGCTGTCTCAATGTTTATGAGAAGGAAAAAGTTTTCGTCTTTCAAGTAGATATAAAGAAACTTGCCTACAAACCCAACATCAGCAACTATTGCAGTATTTACATTCTTGGACCTGTGGCTTTACAACAAGCTGAAGAGAAAAGGCTGCGTTCTTTACCAAGCATGTCTGCGCAACACTGATATTCATGGTGAATATTCCCTGTTGTCTCATAGTGAGATAACAGTACAGACTTGATGAAGGCTCTACTGGCTGTTGGATGCAGTTGGATGATGAAGTTGGATGCTGAATGTACTCTTGAACTCTCTCTCAAATAGATCCTTCAATCTTTCGCCCATACCACGAAACTCTGCATTGTCCTTCAGAAAAAAAAGACAGACACAATTGTATAGAAAACATAATAAATAAGGTAGAAATGCAATTAAAACAGCTCATTTTGCCTAATGCAGCTTTGTTATGGATTAAACAAAGGCACATTTTTAAAGTGTTATTCATGCATTAGCATAAGTAAAGTTGACTAGCATAATTCCAAGATTTATTTTTAAAATGTTAGCCCTGAGTCTTCACATTGGATACTGCAGTAGTGCAGTCTTACCCTGTTAAATGTGGCACAGTTGGTGAAGATAAGCAACACGTCAGACACAAAGTGTTGCACTGACTGGTAGAGATTCTGCTGCAGCTTCTCCACAACCCTGTCCAGCCATATAGGGGTCTTAATCACACTGGTGTAGTTTCTCACCTGGCAATGAAACATACAGACGGAGATATATGTGAACTTTCTCTCTCACTTTCACGCGCACGCACGCGCACGCACACGCACACACACACACACACACACACACACAGAGAGAGAGAAAATCAAGCAAACTTACGTGGATGCAAGGATCTTCCACAAAGATGTGGTCCTCGTCCGCGTAGTATAGACAGAGCAGGAGGTAGTGGCATTCCTGTCAGAGTAAACACACCTTTATGTGTCTGGTCAAAGCTGGTTTACATTTAATTCTAAATAATTATTTAATGTCAAGTATATACAGTGAGGGAAAAAAGTATTTGATCCCCTGCTGATTTTGTACGTTTGCCCACTGACAAAGAAATGATCAGTCTATAATTTTAATGGTAGGTTTATTTGAACAGTGAGAGACAGAATAACAACCGAAAAATCCAGAAAAACGCATGTCAAAAATGTTATAAATTGATTTGCATTTTAATGAGGGAAATAAGTATTTGACCCCTCTGCAAAACATGACTTAGTACTTGGTGGAAAAACCCTTGTTGGCAATCACAGAGGTCAGACGTTTCTTATAGTTGGCCACCAGGTTTGCACACATCTCAGGAGGGATTTTGTCCCACTCCTCTTTGCAGATCTTCTCCAAGTCATTAAGGTTTCGAGGCTGATGTTTGGCAACTCGAACCTTCAGCTCCCTCCACAGATTTTCTATGGGATTAAGGTCTGGAGACTGGCTAGGCCACTCCAGGACCTTAATGTGCTTCTTCTTGAGCCACTCCTTTGCTGCCTTGGCCGTGTGGTTTGGGTCATTGTCATGCTAGAATACCCATCCACGACCCATTTTCAATGCCCTGGCTGAGGGAATGAGGTTCTCACCCAAGATTTGACGGTACATGGCCCCGTCCAGCGTCCCTTTGATGCGGTGAAGTTGTCCAATCCCCTTAGCAGAAAAACACCCCCAAAGCATAATGTTTCCACCTCCATGTGTGACGGTGGGGATGGTGTTCTTGGGGTCATAGGCAGCATTCCTCCTCCTCCAAACACGGCGAGTTGAGTTGATGCCAAAGAGCTCGATTTTGGTCTCATCTGACCACAACACTTTCACCCAGTTCTCCTCTGAATCATTCAGATGTTCATTGGCAAACTTCAGACGGGCCTGTATATGTGCTTTCTTGCGCAGGGGGACCTTGCGGGCGCTGCAGGATTTCAGTCCTTCACGGCGTAGTGTGTTACCAATTGTTTTCTTGGTGACTATGGTCCCAGCTGCCTTGAGATCATTGACAAGATCCTCCTGTGTAGTTCTGGGCTGATTCCTCACCATTCTCATGATCATTGCAACTCCACGAGGTGAGATCTTGCATGGAGCCCCAGGCCGAGGGAGATTGACAGTTATTTTGTGTTTCTTCCATTTGTGAATAATTGCACCAACTGTTGTCACCTTCTCACCAAGCTGCTTGGCGATGGTCTTGTAGCCCATTCCAGCCTTGTTTAGGTCTACTATCTTGTCCCTGACATCCTTGGAGAGCTCTTTGGTCTTGGCCATGGTGGAGAGTTTGGAATCTGATTGATTGATTGCTTCTGTGGACAGGTGTCTTTTATAAAAGTAACAAGCTGAGATTAGGAGCACTCCCTTTAAGAGTGTGCTACTAATCTCAGCTCGTTACCTGTATAAAAGACACCTGGGAGCCAGACATTTTTCTGATTGAGAGGGGGTCAAATACTTATTTCCCTCATTAAAATGCAAATCAATTTATAACATTTATGACATGCGTTTTTCTAGATTTTTTTGTTTTTATTCTGTCTCTCACTGTTCAAATAAACCTACCATTAAAATTTTAGACTGATCATTTCTTTGTCAGTGGGCAAACGTACAAAATCAGCAGGGGATCAAATACTTTTTTCCCTCACTGTAGTAATACTTATAATGGCCAAACTGACAGACATACAGACAGATGGATACAGTGCCTTGCAAAAGTATTCATCCCCCTTGGCGATTTTCCTATTTTGTTGCATTACAACCTGTAATTTAAATGGATTTTTATTTGGATTTCATGTAATGGACATATTCAAAATAGTACAAATTGGTGAAGTGAAATGAAAAAAATGACTTTTTCAAAGAATTCAAACAAATAAATAACGGAAGAGTGGTGCGTGCATATGTATTCACCCCCTTTGCTATGAAGCCCCTAAATAAGATCTGGTGCAACCAATTACCTTCAGAAGTCACATAATTAGTTAAATAAAGTCCACCTGTGTGCAATCTAAGTGTCACATGATCTCAGTATACATACACCTGTTCTGAAAAGCCCCAGAGTCTGCAACACCACTAAGCAAGGGGCACCACCAAGCAAGCGGCACCATGAAGACCAAGGAGCTCTCCAAACAGGTCAGGGACAAAGTTGTGGAGAAGTACAGATCAGCGTTGGGTTATAAAAAAATATCAGAAATGTTTTAACATTCCACGAAGCACCATTAAATCCATTATTAAAAAATGGAACGAATGTGGCACCACAACAAACCTGCCAAGAGAGGGCCGCCCACCAAAACCCACAGTCCAGGCAAGGAGGGCATTAATCAGAGGCAACAAAGAGACCAAAGATAACCCTGAAGGAGCTGCAAAGCTCCACAACGGAGATTGGAGTATCTGTCCATAGGGGAAACATAGTTATGTACACTTTAAGCCGTACACTCCACAGAGCTGTGCTTTACGGAAGAGTGGCCATAAAAAAGCCATTGCTTAAAGACAAAAATAAGCAAACACGTTTGGTGTTCACCAAAAGGCATGTGGGAGACTCCCCAAACATATGGAAGAAGGTACTCTGGTCAGATGAGACTAAAATTGAGCTTTTTGGCCATCACCTTCCAGCAGGACAATTACCCTAAGCATACTGCTAAAGAAACACTCACGTGGTTTAAGGGGAAACATTTAAATGTCTTGGAATGGCCTAGTCAAAGCCCAGACCTCAATCCAATTGAGAATCTGTGGTATGACTTAAAGATTGCTGTACACCAGCGGAACCTATCCAACTTGAAGGAGCTGGAGCAGTTTTGCCTTGAAGAATGGGCAAAATTCCCAGTGGCTAGATGTGCCAAGCTTATAGAGACATACCCCAAGAGACTTGCAGCTGTAATTGCTGCAAAAGGTAGCTCTACAAAGTATTGACTTTGGGGGGGTGAATAGTTATGTACGCTCAAGTTCTGTTTTTATGTCTTATTTCTTGTTTGTTTCACAATAAAACATATTTTGCATCTTCAAAGTGGTAGGCATGTTGTGTAAATCAAATGATACAACCCCCCCAAAAATCCATTTCAATTCCAGGTTGTAAGGCAACAAAATAGGAAAAATGCCAAGGGGGGGGTGAATACTTTCACAAGCCACTGTAGGTTAATTAATTTATTGATTGAGAGGCAATAGGAGGCAATTGGCCCAATGATAGCAGTCATTCATTCAGGCTCCTCACCAGTAGGTGGTCAGAGATTCGGCAGGTTAAGGCTTCCTGGTAGGTCATTTGTTTGGGGTAACGCCACGACTGACTGTTCCTCAGTACACAGAATGTACACATCCACAGACGATTATTCCTGTGATTACACACACACACACACACACACACAAACATTTCAATAGTGTACAAATAAGCTGACAGCTAAGTTTACCTACACAGAACAAACAGACCTCTCTTCTATCAATCTTTCTCACTCTCTCTCTCATCAACCCTCAACTCTACTCACCCCAGCATAGCGTCATCCACATTAGGAAGATGACATCTCTGATGGAAGGAGCGAGGACACTTATCACAGCATATCAAGCTGCCCTGGCTTCTACAGATGAAGCAGTCATCATCGTTGTCCTGATCGTGCTGCCAAGACAGAGAAGAGAGGAAGGTGAGAAGGAATTGGTTAACAATCAAGCACCAACTGCCTGTTTGTGTGTTAATAAATATCGTACAGATTTGTTTCCCACACCCTCGGGTGTAAAACAAGGAGACACCTTATCACCGACTCTGTTTGCTATGTTTATTAATGCTTTGGCAAAATAAATTAAACAGTTAAATATTGGAGTAAGATATGATGATGAAATGCTGATGGTTTTATTTCGATGGCAGAAACTGAACAAGTTGTCAATTGGTGCAAAAGATGGAGAATCATGTACTAAGTACTTTTTCAGTTTTATTGTGGTGAAGAAATTATTGTGTTTACTAGCCATTATAAATATTTGGGTCTTTATTTTGATGAACATATGACCTTTCTATACGGCACATCTGCCCTGGTTCACTCAGCAAGTAGAGCTCATGGGGGAGTTATAGGAAAAACAAAAACAAACATATCGGTTATGCCACATATTCCAAAATGTATAAGACGTTTGTGACCTGTTCTGGACTATTCGGCAGGAGTGTGGATTGCTAAGAGGTATCTCAAAGCAGTACATAATTTTTTAGGTGTCCACAAGTTTGCGCCTATACTGGCAATAACTGGGGACATGGGCTGGGAACCCTGTGAGGTGAGATGGAAGCGTGTATGGTGAGACTTTGGAATAGACTGTTGGATATGCCAATTGCCAGAATAGCTAGAAAAGTTTTTCAATGGGACCTTTTCCAGCAGTCTGACTTAGAACATTTGTATGAAAACCAAATTAAGGGAGACATAGACACAATTAAAAAACAACTGATGACGCAATATGAAAATAAATGGGTGGGGGAGATTAATCATAAACCCAAATTGAGAACCTTTTGTTTGATTAAGGGTGAATTTGTGTGTGAGAGATACAGTATATTATGTACAACCTACCTAAAAGCAAGAGATCGCTACGTGTAAGATCAGGGATATTGCCCCTGCGTATTGAAACAGATCGGTATAATGGTGAAATGGATGGGGAAAGACTATGTAAGTATTGTGACCTCGATGAAATAGAGAATAACATTCATCTTATAATCTATTGCACTTTCTACCACAATATACACACTTGTCCTTATTCCAGAAAGCCCACCAGATATACCCTGGCAATATGTGGTTGAGCGATGAGGAGAAACTGAAATGGTTGTTCCTACGTTGTTCCCATGTTCCTGAGGGTTGAGGGGGAAACTTACACGGTCTTTGGCCGTGGGGCTGCACAGCTTGCATTTACAAAGGAGGGAGTGGATGACCAAGATCTTACTCTGAAAATGAGAAACAAACAAAGACAGTAGAAGTACTAGTAAAACGTTTTTGAAGAAGGGAAATGTTTTCATCACAGATCCTTATAGACCTGGCAGACTATCTTAAGCCATTCCATGTACAGTAGGTTGGTACGTGCCAAACACACATCTTCATTCTCTCTCATCTCTCTTCCTCTCTATCTTTCTGTTCTCTTTCCCTCTGTACCTCGATGAGGATGCTGAGTGGTTTCCCATCCCACTGGATGTCTTTCTTCCAGGAGGCATCTGCCAGAGCTGACCCCCCCGTCACAAACTCCATCGGGGTCATCCAGCGCAGCTCCGTACGGATGCTCTTTCCACATGACCCTGGGGCAACAGAGAAGATAGGGGCAGAAGGAAAATCTCAAATGAAACCCTATTATAACCCTAGTATAAATCCAATATGGCGCACGACAGCTGACCAGAGTGACATAGGGCTATGGTAAAATAACATGTAGTGTATTATCGACAATAGCTAAAAGTGTGTCATTTACTTTACTTTATTACGTTTATTTTTGCAGAGAGATTTTCAGTAAAAGTGCCGGTTTTAGCCAGTTGGCAAAATTTCGACCGTAGTCCCATAGTACAGACAGACAATTAGCACATAGAGAGCAACATATGACAACTAACACACTAACACCTCACAAACTACAGACAGGTTGTGTGTGGCGCAGTTACGTGTGTCTGGAGGCAGTTATGTTCCAGACATGGGAAGCTCTGACTGAAGCCGTCTGACTGAAGGTACTTTTCCTTAAGGGAACTATACAGTCACCTCTCATTGCAGACCTTATGGATCTGCTGCCATGGGTTTTCTGCTTGATAAAAGCACTAAGTGGGGGCAGTATTTGAGGTGCAGCCAGAGAAAGAGGGTTGCCAACATGTAAAAGTGTCTCCAGTACCTCCAATAGTTTCTGAGACACGGCAATAGCTATAGGACTTTCTTATGTTTATTAAACCTTGAGAGAATAAAATATGTACCTGATGCAAACCGCTCCTTATGTAGCGTACCATTGATGGCCCCACAGGTGACTTTGAAGACAGACTTTTTCACCACACCATGGCTGCCTCCTGTACTGCTCTCTCCTCCAGCAGTGTTTGCCTGCTTTCCTCTCTCTCCTTCCTGCTCAGCTTCTTCTTCCTCCTCTTCCTCCTCATCATTGTCATCCTCCTCAGATTCTGGAGTAAGGATAAACAAAGAGGTTTAGGGAAAGATGGTTTATTATATAAGTGTGAAGGGTCAGGCCTGTGTTATTCACAAAACCTTATAACAACAACAACACACGGTTAGAGAGACACCAACCCCTTTACCAGATAGTCATGTCTGAAGGATTCAGAAAGATTCCATTGTTGTGATTGGTGTACATACCTGTGATTGAGCCCGCTGATTGGTTGGAGGGTAACAGTGTTCTCTTGGCCTAGATAGGAGAAAAGGGACAGAGCAGTTTTACATATATCAGTCACATAATAGACTCTTCTTCATCTAATATGGTAAGAACATGGACAAAGAAAAGTATCATTGGTCAAAGTATGATCACGCCCAAGAAATATAAATACATGCCCGTAGAAACATCACAATATCAACGGCTAAGGCTAAGCTGTTGTCAAGTTTAGATGTTGCAATAAAACTGATTCATGACTAATATTCATAAACAACATGTACTCAGATGCTATGACGATGCAGCACTTTCTTTGCATTTTCAATGGTCACACATCTTCCTATGCCCAGTATGGTATAAGCCTCTACTTAGAGAAACCGAATTGCCATGATATGCTACATTCTATTAATTCATGGGGACCTTGATTATATTTAGTTGATAAAGTCAAGGATATTTTTTTTTTCACAGTTACTACAAAGTAATTTTTACATAGAATGATGTGGGTGAACTGTTATCAAGATATACAGTATGATGTGGATGTACTAAACATTTGAGGGCATTTGTACAACTAAATAGTTAAATTAAGTTTGGCTGTTAATTCAGAGGGTAAATTTAAGCAATAAGGGCCGAGGGGGTGTGGTATACAGTCTGATATACCACGGCTGTCAGCCAATCAGCATTCAGGGCTCGAACCACTCAGTTTATAATGAAAGACTGCTCTCCTACCTGTGCACTCTTTCTTCTTTTAAAGCCTGGTGAAGTTAAATGACCTTCCTGAGGTGGGTGGGATGGTGAAGTGAGGGGGGAGAGAAAGGGGGAGAGACATAGCTTTTTAGTGTTGAATGACTGAATGGCAAATCAGTGAAATACCTGTACAGTTACAGAAGAACAAAAATGTGTGAATTCTTCGAAAGAACTCATCCACCTGGTCAGTTCATGTCAGCATGACAACACATTGAGGTGAGGGGAATGTCTGTTTTTTATAGGTACAAGTAAAAAAAATATGTGTGATATTTTGTTTGTAAATGTTTGAATTATGGGAGCATCCATGAACACGTATGTTTGTTGAAAAGAGTAAAGGGATAGCTATTCAAACCTATTTCTGAGTCCCTAGGTCAAGCCACGTGGTAACTAGCATCTTCAATGATTTAGTCTTATCCCAGTTTACCTATTTACTTATGGCCCTGCATACACCAAACTACTTTTTAAATATTTTATTATATTAACAAAAAATATTCCACTTTATTTGGAATGGCAAGCCAGGCAAAATTAAACGGGCCTATTTACAGTGGGGAAAAAAAGTATTTAGTCAGCCACCAATTGTGCATGTTCTCCCACTTAAAAAGATGAGAGAGGCCTGTAATTTTCATCATAGATACACGTCAACTATGACAGACAAATTGAGGAAAAAAAATCCCGAAAATCACATTGTATGATTTTTAATGAATTTATTTGCAAATTATGGTGGAAAATAAGTATTTGGTCAATAAGAAAAGTTTCTCAATACTGTGTTATATACCCTTTGTTGGCAATGACACAGGTCAAATGTTTTCTGTAAGTCTTCACAAGGTTTTCACACACTGTTGCTGGTATTTTGGCCCATTCCTCCATGCAGATCTCCTCTAGAGCAGTGATGTTTTGGGGCTGTCGCTGGGCAACACGGACTTTCAACTCCCTCCAAAGATTTTCTATGGGGTTGAGATCTGGAGACTGGCTAGGCCACGCCAGGACCTTGAAATGCTTCTTAAGAAGCCACTCCTTCGTTGCCCGGGCGGTGTGTTTGAGATCATTGTCATGCTGAAAGACCCAGCCACGTTTCATCTTCAATGCCCTTGCTGATGGAAGGAGGTTTTCACTCAAAATCTCACGATACATGGCCCCATTCATTATTTCCTTTACACGGATCAGTCGTCCTGGTCCCTTTGCAGAAAAACAGCCCCAAAGCATGATGTTTCCACCCCCATGCTTCACAGTAGGTATGGTGTTCTTTGGATGCAACTCAGCATTCTTTGTCCTCCAAACACGACGAGTTGAGTTTTTACCAAAATGTTCTATTTTGGTTTCATCTGACCATATGACATTCTCCCAATCCTCTTCTGGATCATCCAAATGCACTCTAGCAAACTTCAGACGGGCCTGGACATGTACTGGCTTAAGCAGTGGGACACGTCTAGCACTGCAGGATTTGAGTCCCTGGCGTCGTAGTGTGTTACTGATGGTAGGCTTTGTTACTTTGGTCCCAGCTCTCTGCAGGTCATTCACTAGGTCCCCCCGTGTGGTTCTGGGATTTTTGCTCACCGTTCTTGTGATCATTTTGACCCCACGGGGTGAGATCTTGCGTGGAGCCCCAGATCAAGGGAGATTATCAGTGGTCTTGTATGTCTTCCATTTCCTAATAATTGCTCCCACAGTTGATTTCTTCAAACCAAGCTGCTTACCTATTGCAGATTCAGTCTTCCCAGCCTGGTGCAGGTCTACAATTTTGTTTCTGGTGTCCTTTGACAGCTCTTTGGTCTTGGCCATAGTGGAGTTTGGAGTGTGACTGTTTGAGGTTGTGGACAGGTGTCTTTTATACTGATAACAAGTTCAAACAGGTGCCATTAATACAGGTAACGAGTGGAGGACAGAGGAGCCTCTTAAAGAAGAAGTTACAGGTCTGTGAGAGCCAGAAATCTTGCTTGTTTGTATGTGACCAAATACTTATTTTCCACCATAATTTGCAAATAAATTCATTAAAAATCATACAATGTGATTTTCGGGATTTTTTTTCCTCAATTTGTCTGTCATAGTTGACGTGTATCTATGATGAAAATTACAGGCCTCTCTCATCTTTTTAAGTGGGAGAACTTGCACAATTGGTGGCTGACTAAATACTTTTTTCCCCCACTGTATATAATGAATTTGGAGGGCTGAAATTATTAAATATTAAAGCATTGAACCTCTCACTAAAGGCTTCAGCCATACCAAAGTTGTACTTAAATCCGAACTGGTTTTCCAGCAGATTAGTCAAAATGGCTCACCCCATGTTAAAAATGGCCCTTTTCCCTTTATTCAGATTACAACCTCTCACTTTTGGTTATTTGAAAATGAAATAATCTCCAGAATATTGCTATTTTTAAAACAGGCTATAGAAAGCTGGTTGCAATTTCAGTTTAATCCATCAGAAAAGACAGAACAAATATTACAACAAATATTATGGTTCAACTCAAATACACTAATTGATTAAAAACATTGTTATAATCTTTGTTAATGATATCATAAATATAACTGTGTCACGCCCTGGCTCTGGGGACTCTAGTATGTTGAGCCAGGGTGTGAGTTTTCATTTGTTTTTGTTCTAGTTTTTGTAGTTCTATGTTGGCCAGTGTGGTTCTCAATCAGAGGCAACGTGTATCAGCTGTTGCTTGTTGTCTCTGATTGGGAACCATACTTAAGCAGCCAGTTTTCCCACAGTGTTTGTGGGATCTTGTTCCTGTGTAGGTTTGTGTTTTGCACCGTTGGGCGTCACGTATTGATTTTGTTATTTTGTTCGTGTAATCATTATTTAATAAATATGTTCACCTTCCACGCTGCGCCTTGGTCCTCTGTATCCGACGATCGTGACAGAAGATCCCACCAAGACTGGACCAAGCAGCGTGTCCAGGAGCCATTGCCAGGGAGATCTCTAGCGGATCTCCTTCGCCTCCTCGACTGGGTCAAGCCGTGTGAGGAAGAGAGGGGCTTGACTTGGAAGCAGAAGGGCGAAAGGCTGGCGAGAGATATGGAGACCTGGCCCACAGGAAGGAGAGAAGCCCAGAATTTTTTTAGGGGGGGGCTCACGCCGCGGACGACGGGGCAGCAGGAGGCCGCGATGGAGCGGTCCAGCGGGTTTGCAGAGGAGGGTGCCAGGTTAAGGGGGCCACTGGTCACAGAGGAGAGGGAAAGTGTAGAGGCACGGCGAGAGGTACTGGGGTGTGTTACCAGTCCGGTCCGGCCCGTTCCTGATCCCTGCGTAGGGCCAGTGATGTGTGTCCCCAGTACGGTCCGGCCTGTTCCTGTTCCTCGCATCGAGCCTGTGGTGCGCGTCGTTAGCCCGGTCTGGCCTGTTCCTGCTCCCCGCACCAAGCCTATGGTGCGCGTCGCCAGCCCGGTCCGGCCTGTTCCTGCTCCCCGCACCAAGCCTACGGGGAGCAGGAACAGCCCGGCCCGGCCTGTTCCTGCTCCCCGCACCAAGCCTATGGTGCGCATCGTCAGCCCGGTTCGGCCTGTTCCTGCTCCCCACACCAAGCCAGTGGTGTGCGTCGTCAGTCCGGCACAGCCCGTGCCTGTTCCACCGGTGCCTGGTTCGGCACCGGTCAGCTGCTCCACGCCGGAGCTAGAGCAATCCACTCCACCGGTGTTCAGTCCAGCTCCGGCCAGCAGGGTCAGACCAGACCAGGGGTACTTTGGGGGGTTGGAGAGGGAATGGGAATCATGCCCGGAGCCGGATCCGCCGCCAAGGCGGAGTGCCCACCCGGTCCCTCCCCTGTGGTGTTTGGTTGGCGCGGCCGGAGTCCGCGCCTTTGGGGGGGGGGGGGGGGGGGGGTACTGTCACGCCCTGGCTCTGGGGACTCTAGTATGTTGAGCCAGGGTGTGAGTTTTCATTTGTTTTTGTTCTAGTTTTTGTAGTTCTATGTTGGCCAGTGTGGTTCTCAATCAGAGGCAACGTGTATCAGCTGTTGCTTGTTGTCTCTGATTGGGAACCATACTTAAGCAGCCAGTTTTCCCACAGTGTTTGTGGGATCTTGTTCCTGTGTAGGTTTGTGTTTTGCACCTTTGGGCGTCACGTATCGATTTTGTTATTTTGTTCGTGTAATCATTATTTAATAAATATGTTCACCTTCCACGCTGCGCCTTGGTCCTCTGTATCCGACGATCGTGACAAACTGTTGGAGTTATGTCAAACATGCAGCTAACAAAAATATATGGAAATGTCTGCTATATCCAAAATTACAACCAACTGATTGCAGCATTACCACAAAAATGGAAGAGGCAAGTGGAATGGCCCTACATTAAAGCCCACATTTGGTTAAACCAAATTGTGATGAATAGAAAAGTATACCAGTTTCATTTAAGGACTAACAAATTGACAGTTGCGCCATGCAGGTCACAAAATAGTTTGGAAGCGATTTTCGATGTGCTGATTCCATGGCACATGGTTTATGAACTGATACACAAAACAACGGCGGATTAAAAAGTTACGAGTTTTTCAGTTTAAATTATTATACAAAATTCTTGCAACCAACAGAATGTTATGTATATGAGGGATACAAACAATCCCAGCTCTGCAGATTTTGCTGCAAAGAGACAGAATCATTAGATCACTTGTTTTGGTACTGCCCATATGTAGGGCGGCAGGTAGCCTAGTGGTTAAGAGCCCTTGTCAATGTGCCCTTGAGCAAGGCACTTAACCCTAATTGCTCCTGTAAATCGCACTGGGTAAGAGCATCAGCTAAATTACGTAACTGTAGTTTGTTTTTGGTTGCATGTTCAGGAATGGCTGAAGAATTGCAACATTTACCTGGAACTAACTCTGCAAATAGCACTGCTGGGTGACTTGAAAAGCCATAGCCAATCGATCAATAATATAATAATAATTTTAGTAAAAATATTCATCTTTAATTTAGAATCTGTAAAAACTATGAGAATAGTTCAGTACTTTTGTGAAACATGACAGCACAGCTGAAAAATGCATGGAAATTAGAGATACATGGGAGGAGTTGAGGGTAGCTGAAGGGTTGGGCTAAAAGCTAATAAAA